AAAACATATATATATATATACATATATATATGCGTGCATATATATATATATATGTATATGCACGCATATATAACATATATATATGCGTGCATATATATATATGTATATGCACGCATATATATAAGGTAAGTGGGGGTGGGGGAACTAGTCGCAGTACAGTATGCATTATGTACAGAGAAAACTTCTATAAAGATACAGAACACACTGTTAAATAGTAAACTAGGGAAATGGAGACTTTTAGTTTTCGTTTCATTTGTATGCTGCTTGAATTCTTTTTTTAAGATCATCTATACCTTCTTAATTAAAAAAGAAATCAAGGGGGGCGCCTGGGTGGCTCAGTCGGTTAAGCGTCCGGCTTCGGCTCAGGTCATGATCTCACAGTCCGTGAGTTCAAGCCCCACGTCGGGCTCTGTGCTGACAGCGCGGAGCCTGGAGCCTGCTTCAGATTCTGTGTCTCCCTCTCTCTCTGCCCCTCCCCCGCTCATGCTCTGCCTCTCTCTGTCTCAAAAATAAATAAAAACATTTTAAAAAATTAAAAAAAAAAAGAAATCAAGGGGCACCTGGGTGGCTAATCAGTTAAGCATCCGACTTCGGCTCAGGTCATGATCTCGCAGTTTGCGAGTTCGAGTCCCGCGTCAGGCTCTGTGCTGACAGCTCGGAGCCTGGAGCCTGGAGCCTGCTTTGGATTCTGTGTCTCCTTCTCTCTCTGCCCCTCCCCTGCTCATGCTCTGTCTCTCTCTGTCTCTCAAAAATAAATAAGTGTTAAAAAAAAAAAAGAAACCAAGCACTATATATTGGAAAGTATTTTGCTTTGTGCTCTAGTTATAAGGGGAAAAGGACCTAAAAGGGGTAAAATGAAAAAGACTTAGGGCCATCGGTCCAAGAGGTGATCAGCACAAATGGGCCTCCCTCCCCTTATCCAGCCTAACTCCCCTCAGAAACACTACTCCCAGGAACACAAACCAGAAAGAATATCGTCATTGTAGACCCTCTGCCCCCTCAGGACAGAAGGCCCAGTCAAGTGTGGAGTCTGACTGGTCCACCACCAACCAGTTTATATCCCGTGCCTGGGTAATAACACAAATAATGCAAATAGCAAATTACTTACTTGGCTTTAGGTCCCAGTAATTGTAAGATTCCCATCTGAATATGGGCACACAACATTTCTTTTTATTCAGCAAGGGTCTAAGCTAAGTACTGAGAATAAGAGTGAAATAAAACGCAGGACCTGTCATCAAGTCCTTCAAGATCTAGTGAGAAGGGAAACATGCACACAACTCATCAGAAGGCAGGCCCCATGGGTTACCTGCTCTAGCAAAGGTGTGGAGGGAGATTAGCTCCATCTGGTGGGATCAGAGGTCTTACCCAACGGATGGCACTTCTCAGACTGAAGAATCTAAGATTACCTGACCTTTCCCCTCTTTTCCACTTATCAACTCTTTTCCTCTATATTTGTGTGGAACAAGTAAACGTGACAGTGTCCTTCCCTTTGTTGCTTAATTCACATTGCTAAAGACAATACCATCTCTTTTTTTTATAAAAAAAAAATTAACATTTATTCATTTTTTAAAAATGTTTATTATTTATTTTTGAGAGAGAGAGAGATAGACAGACACAGCATGATCAAGGGAGGGGCAGAGAGAGAAACACACACACAGAATAGAAGCAGGCTCCAGGCCCCAAGCTGTCAGCACAGAGCCCGACATGGGGCTCAAACTCACAAACTGCGAGATCATGACCTGAGTCGAAGTCGGACACTTAATCGACTGAGCCAACCAGGCAGCACCCCTACCATCTCTTTTGCATAAGAAATCAATTAGTGCTAGGTATCCTTTTCAATATTAAATACAGTACCATAAATATATCTTTGATCAAAGTTTTCTTTATTTGGAAGTTGTTCCATCATAGCTCCAGACCACAGAAATGCTCAAAAATGTCAGCAAATTAGCTTACAAGCTACATCTTTCCAAATGCTTCTTCTACATAGATTCCATTTATTAGTTCAGATCTTTGGTTCAGAAAATAAGGTCATCCTAGAGCAATCATAAAAAAAGCCAGGCTGGGATTCTGTCTATAAGGGAAAGTATGCGGTACTCTAAGCTCAAGAAACAAAGGACTGTTACTATTTTGTCTGTGTGTGTTTTGGGGTTTTGTTTTTTGTTTTTGCCTAAAACTTGTCCAGACACAGATGGGTATAGAGTTGCCACTCTTATTTCAGTAAAGGAGTGAGATCTCCTAGAACTTAAACCTAGAAATTCACACTTTTTTTCCTGTTGTGTTAGGTGTATTTTTCAGTATTAAATATATTGCCCTAAGTATTTCTTTGGCTAAAGTTTTACTTATCCAAGAGTTGTTCCATCATACCCATAAACCATAAACCCATCAGCCACGTCAACCATACTTAACACACTTCATAGGCTTCTGACACACTTGGTTATACCAAGTGCATGTTTCACAGTCAAAAACAACTGTGTTTAAACTTGGCTCCACTTCCTAGCTGATGATCCTTGGCAACCATTTCATGTCTCTGGGCCTCAGGTTCCCAAAGGTAGAGTTTTCCTACCTCACAGAGTTTTTGTCAGGATTAGCAACAATTTAGGTAAATCATCTAGTCCATTGCTAGAAAGAGAGCAAGCCATCAACAAATGACAGCTAAAATGATCGATGTTATTACTATGAACCCTCACTCTGGAAGCCAGTGGGGTCAAGACACTCTGTGGGACCCAGAAAGCAAGAAGTAGGAAGGACAGGGGCTCCTGGGTGCCTCAGTCAGTTAAGCAACAGACTCTTGATTTTGGCTCAGTTAATGATCTCATGGTTATGAGATTAAGCCCCACATCATGGAGCCTACTACAGATACTCTCTCTGTCTCCCTCTCCCTCTGCCCCTCCCCTGCATGCTCTCTCAAAAAAAAAAAAAAAAAAAAAAAGATAGGAAGTACAAAATAAACTTATTTTCTGTTACACTTAAACAATCAGAATAAGTAATTTCAAGAATTTTGACAACTCCCAAAACGTGTCAACAGTGGTTGAGAATATATACATGTTCTGGAGTCTACACGAGAAAGTCCACTTTACCACTCACTAGCTATGAGACCTTGAGCAAGCTGCTCAGAGCAGATATCCTTTCCTCAACTAAAATGGAGCTAATAACAGTCCTTCCAAGTACTTCATGGAGATTTGTGAAGGTTAAATTAAATGAGATAACCATGGAATGTTCTTAGCACAGCATCTGGCAACAGTAACAGATGTTAACTATCAGCCTGTCCATGAAATCCGGGGTACCACCAAGGACTTACCAAAAAAGCTCTGAAGAGCTTGCAACACTAGTATTTCAGATACGCGTACCATTTTTCAATAGGATATACAGTCCAGTGTGGTTAATAAAGTACTAATCATTTTAAGAATTTTACGCAAGTGACTTTTAAATACACGTAATGAATGCTGAAAAATATTCAAACAATAGAGAAGTATAGAAAAGTAAAAAGTGTGCTCATCTAGCCAACCGTTCCCCACTCTAACCCTCAAGTCCACTTCCCAAAGGGGACACCACTGGAAACACTATGGTGGGCATTCTGCAGATCCTTGTCTCTCAAGATATACACAAAGCTGGGAGGTACAGAGATTAGCTATTTTATAAAATGGGATCACACCATACATATTATTTACTTATTCAACAATGTATCATGGAAATCTTTCCATGTCGATGCATAAAATCATTCTTTTTAGCTGCTGCTCAATTGGCTGCTGCTTCAGATAATGGATACTTTATTAATCCATTATTCTAGGAATTTAGCTTTCCTCTAATTTTTTGCTATTAAAAATAATTCCATGGGATGCCTGGGTGGCTCAGTTGGTTAAGCATCTGACTTTGGTTCAGGTCATGATCTCAAAGTTCAGAGTTTGAGCCCCACGTCGGGCTCTCTGCTGACAGCTCAGAGCCTGGAGCCTGCTTTGGATTCTGCGTTTCCCTCTCTCTCTCTTTCTCTGCCCCTCCCCTGCTCGTGCTGTCTCTCTCTCTCTCTCTCAAAAATAATAAATAAACATTAAAAAATTTTTTTTAAATTCCACAATGAATATTTTGTTTGAAGGGCATTCAACACATGTGCAGGTATTTCTGTTGAAAAGCCTCCTAAAAGAAAACCTGCTCAAAGGTTTTGCACATTTTATATTTTGTTAAGTACCACCAAATTGTCCTCCAAAGAGAGCATAAATAAAAGACATTGTATTCACTGTCATTAACCATCTGCGTAAAAACCAAGAACAACAAGTAAACTATCGTGTGAAGAAACCGTACATCTTCTAATGGAAAAGTGGCCTTCACCTTCTAAAAACAGATGGGAAAAAATCCTTACTTCATCCTTCTCAACATCAGAGCCCTTGTTCTATGGACTAAACTCTCACCTTAACATTACTGGACCCTGACGTCCTTTGCAATGACTTGGCTCAAGTGGAAACTCGTTTTCTAGTCCATCCTGCCCCCTCCCAATCCCCAGGCCAATTGGTTTTGGTGGGGGAGGGGACAGTGAGGAAGAAGGACTCAAGACTGAAGTGTTACTGTCATCATGTAGCAGCCACACCAAGCCCCACGAAAACAGAATTATTCCAGGCAACGCTCACTTAAAAGCTCTACTCTGTTGCTGTGTTAAAGCAGTAATGGATTACAATCTCTTAATCAGTAATCACTGGCCTACAGGTAGTTTACACGTTTCATTTCGTCCCACAATATTATTACAGTGAGGAGCAAGAGCAGATAAAGGTCATGTTGGTAATTAAAGCTATATTATAGAAATATGCACACCCAAGATATGATTAAATAAGAAAATATTACTCAGTTCAGTATCATCATTAAACTTGCATTAATTTATAAATATTTAAATGTACCATATGATGATCATAAATAATCTGTTTTTGTCAGTTTCTAAAGTAATACAACCCATAAACCCTTTGAAAAATTACTGCAGAAAGAAATAGTCAAGAAAGTATACAAGCCAGACTTACATTCAAATGCTGTGGTTGTTGCTTCAGGCAGAACCTGGCCTATCACATCCTAAACAAAGAAAGAATAAAGAAACACAATTAGCCATCTTCTTTATTGCTAACATGTGGCAAATCCTAGAGGAAATATGAGAACCTGAAGAAGATTTTTGAAATGTTGGCATAAACTATAAAAACATTAGCTCATAATCACACTTAGCCCAGCAATGTGAGGCCAGAGCTTAAATCTCTATTTTGGGGCAGGGGGTGGGGGGGTGGGGGGGAGATTCTTTACAAAATTTCCTCTACTATGTATTCGTAACAATCTTTCCCTCTTGATTCAACAGTATATACAAATACACTCTTGTGGGGGCACCTGGGTAGCTCAGTTGGTTAAGTGTTTGACTTTAGCTCAGGTCATGATCTCACGGTTCATGGGTTCATGGGTTCGAGCTGAGCGTTGGACTCTGTGCTGATGGCTCAGAGCCTGGAGCCTGCTTTGGATTTTGTGCCTGCCTCTCTCTCTCTCTCTCTCTCTCTCTGCCCCTCCCCCGCTGATGCTCTGTTTCTCACTCTCTCTCAAAAATAAACATTAAAAAATTTTTAATAAAAAAATACACCCTTGTGTATTAAACAAATAAACAGTTTCTTCTACGGGAGGCTGTGGAGTGCACTGCCAGTAGAAAGAGTAAGGGGTTTAGGAGTCAGACTAGCCTGGGTTTGAATCCCAGGTCTGCACCTACTAGCTCTGTGACTGGAAATAAATTACTTAACCTCTCTGAGCCTCAATCTGATTATCCTCCAATAGGAGTCTAGTAATACTTAGATAATGTAAAAATTAAGTTAAATAATATACATAAATTAACCTAGCACATTGCGGACACTCAAATGCAGCTTCTAATATGTAACTAGCAACATCGTGCCTTGTATTCATAGTGCAAAGAGTTCAAAAAACAAGTTTCTGTGACATATTATTCCAATAATGCCATAACCTATAATGCTACATTTGATACAAACAATTTTTATCAACCTTCACTCCTAAGCAACTGGAAAACGTATATTGAATGACACTGGAACAGAGTTAATCTAGGTTACAAAAAAAATTTTTTTTAAGTTTACATATTCTGATACCAATATTAAAATGAACCTGTAAAGTTGAAATCTTAAAAATCAGTCTATGGAGACAGCTTAGCTCAAGAGGCATGGGACATCCTCAAGAAATAGCCAGCACTGGGAAAGATGACCCTCCACGATGTCCAGCCCCACCTAAACGGTCTGCAAACCTCACTGCTCTCCTGGACTCTGCCACAACGTCCCTCCTGGGCTCTGCCAGAACTGGCACCAGGCAGCCGGGTGACAAAGCGGCTTACGGTAGTTCTCAGCAGGGAGCCCACAGCCCTTCCAAGCGGGGCACTTAGCAGAGTGGCGGCTGCAACTTCCTTCTGAAGGCAGTTCTTTAGAAGCTTTCGCTGCAGTGGAAATTTGCATAATAGCCTCGCCTCCAGAGTGCCTTTTTTTCCCCTCAAAAATAAATCTGTGCATATAAAATTGATCAAAGAGAACTATCTTAGGCAACCCTCGCTCATTAGACCCAAAGGAGGTTATTTTTTTCCTTCTGACTGTAGTCTTAGCACGTGCAACATCAACTCTGAGGAAGTATTTGTAAAAAAAAAAAAAAAAAAAAAAATCCAGTGTTAAAAAAATTCTACACACTTGTAGGTAAAAGTATTTATTGACAGGTAAATGGAAACTGTAGAGTGAGTATGGAATAAATTCTACAGACAGCTAGTGTAAAGCCTGACTGTGTGGGCTGCAGCCAGACTGCTAGGGCTGGACCTTGACTCTGCTGTTCAGCAGCTCGGTGACTGGGTCTATCTGGGCCATGAGATCATAACTGTACCTACCTCGTAGGACAAAATGAGTTCACATTTATAAAGGGATTTTAAGAGTGTCTAGCACACGGTAGGTGCCACAATAGTGTCTGTTAAATTAATAACACAAGTCACTGATGACTGGAAAGTTATAGAGCTTACCTAACAATGAAACCCAAAATTTCAGCACCTGAGGACTGGTGGATAGTCATTTGTTCACTCCCATCATCCTTCCAGAGCATCTATTGAGGACCTTTTCTAACTAGTGGTGTGGTTAAAAACAAGCTGGGGGACGCCACCCCCACCCCTCCACGTCGACGTTACTTTCAGGGAACTCTGATCACCTAGATCTTGTGCCATGAACTCTACAGCATCAGCAAACTAATTTAGGATCCTTCCTACTTATGAGTAGCAGATCCCATCAAACAGCAAATTTCTAATAAGTAGCTGAAAACCTTGGGGGGCAGCAGTGGCCCCTTTTGCCCACCACCATAAGCAAGGAGTCACATAGGCTTTACACCTCATGTGGGGAAAAAGAGTAAAAAAAAAAAAAAAAAAAAAAAAGCAAACTTGCTTGAGGGATCATGTGAACACAACCAGCCATATCATTCTGTTAAAGCAAATAAGGTGGGGCTTATCATAATGCTGAAGAGTTGAAAAGTTTCAAAATTAGTTAATACCTACTGGTCATTTCTAACCGGGACATATTTAATAATTTTATGTATATTTTACAGTTATATTTTAAGTGACTTATTTCCAGGAAAAAAGAAAAAGCCCTGTCTTATTCACAACATAACATTTACCTAAAGAAGCTTTCAAAAGAAAACTTTAAATATTTTAATGGCGATCATTTCTTGGTCATTTTCTTCTCCATGCTTTTAATATATCAATCAAATATATGATGGACCAAAAGTATAATTAAGCATCTACACATGCCAGGAGCATAAAGATCACAAAGCTGTAGGCTACAGAAGAGTAAGATTTAGGAAGATTATAGTCTGGTCACTCAGATAAAGACAAACCTAAAAGAAGAACGATACAGTGCACTTATAGGCTGATAAGAGCCAGACAAAAGACATAAATACAGTATTTGCTAACTCAGGAGGCAGAAAAAAAATCACAGGCTCAGTCTAGGTAAAAACTTCACAGATGAGAGGAAATCTGAGCTGGGACTTGGGAGACAGGATTCAAATGCCAAGAGGAATAGGGGGAACATTCTCTTGCACCACTAATTGCGATCTCCTGCACAATTTTCCCCAAACTGGAGATTGTGTCTACAAGGAAAAGAACACAGAAAGCTGAAAAACAGATAATCAAATGTCTCTGCCCTTGAAGACCAGCTAGGCCTACTTTACCCTGCAGCCAGTCCCGAATTATTCAGACCCAGACACAGGCCCAGAGAGGCTAAGTGCCTTGTCCAAGGTCTCCCAGCTATTTGACAGAGCAGTGATGAGAGACCTCGACTACAACCTCAGGTATAAAACACTCTCAGATACAGATGACTCAGTGACCACAAACTGCTTCTGGCTTCTGTGTCTGGTCCTACCAAAAACGAGCTGTGTGGCTTTAGCATTTTCCCCCTCTGGGGTTCACGCTTCCGAATTTGAAAACTGGGGAGAAGAGAGTTACATGAGATGAGGGGGATGCTTCCAGATTTCATTTGGCTTTAAATTTTAAGGTTCCAAGCCAAAGACGCTGATATAACTGTCGGTTTTTGACAATTTCTTTTTTTTTTAATGTTTATTTGGAGGGAGGGTGCAGAGAAAGGGAGACAGAGGGTCCAAAGTGGGCTCTGCGCTAATCGCAGAGAGCCCGATATGGAGCTCGAACTCACAAACTGTAAGATCATGACCTGAGCCGAAGTCGGACGCTTAACCAACCGAGTCACCCAGGTGTCCAGTTTTTTGACAATTTTTTGATGAAAAGATGATGTGACCCTGGTGAAGAAATCACAGGTGCCCACCAGGATCTGTACGTGCAGTTCGTAGAGCCTGCTATAGGAACACAGGAGATAGCACAGCACCCATTGTCAAGAGCCCTTCATCAGGGCTCTAAATATGCTCCACCTGGGCTTACCTGCACATAGGCACATGTGAGGACACAAGGCACTCTAGATGGTAGGACCGATTGTGCAAAGTTTACTTTAAAGCCAATCAGCCTGGGTGGCTCAGTCAGTTAAGCATCTGACTTCAGCTCAGGTCATGATCTCACAGTTTGTGGGTTCGAGCCCCACGTTGGGCTCTGTGCTGACAGTTCACAGCCTGGAGCCTGCTTCGGATTCTGTGTCTCCCTCTCTCTCTGCCCCTTTCCGGCTCATGCTCTGTCTCTTTCTCTCAAAAATAAATAAACGTTAAAAAAAAAAGAAAGTAAAGCCAATCAGCCTGGAGCCAAGGTACAACAGAGAGATGCTTAAGAAGCAAAAGACCCAGGGCCTGTCCCTTATGTTGTAACAACAATACTTACAGAGCATTTACCTCATTCCAGATTGTTCTAAGTGCTTTATATGTATCAGCTCCAGTAGTCCTCATACTCTATGAAGTGGGCATTATTTTCATCCTCTACCCCTCTGTTTTGTTTTGTTTTGTTTTTTTTTACAGGTAAAGAACTGAGACACAAAAGACACTTGCCCAAGTGAGTCTGGTAAGGCTTGCAATTTAAACCCAGGCAATCTGGCCCAGAGTTTGTGTTTGTAAACACTGTATCACTGTGTTCTAAATATCTTCTGTTATTTCAAATGAGCAAAGTGAAAGAAAGCTCACACCTTTTTCATCACAGACACGATCTCACTTAATCTTCACAAGACTTGGGGCGCCTGGGTGGCTCAGTCGGTTAGGCGTCCAACTTCAGCTCAGGTCATGATCTCACGGTCCGTGAGTTCGAGCCCTTGCTCCGGGCTCTCGCTGACAGCTCAAACTGGAGCCTGTTTGATTCTGTCTCCCTCTCAGCCCTCCCGTTCATCCGCTCTGTCTCTCTCTGTCTCAAAAATAAATAAACATTAAAAAAAAAATTTAAACTTCACAAGCCTTGAAGGCAGGTATTGTCCCCATTTTACAAGTAAGGAAACTGAGGCTAAAAGAGGTAGAGTGTCTTGTCTAGTTAGTGAGACTGCTTGCAATTAAACTCACTTTTTTTTGAGAGAGAGAGAGAGAGCACGCACAGGGCAGAGGGGGAGAGAGAGAATCTGCAGCAGGTTTCATGCTCA